TCTCCTTTCAGGGAGCTGAGAAAAAGTCCCCAGTGCAGCAAGCTGCATGGAACTGAGGCCTGCACAGCCAGGACCTGTAAGATCAGGGGGGTGGCAGGGCTGGGGAATCACACGTGTGGTGCTTTGACTTATGAAGTCCTATAAAGACGCATCAAGTCCTGACTCCTGGCACCTGTGCTACTGACCCTGGAAATGGGCTTTGCAGGTGCAATGTAAGTAAGGCTCCCACCAGGTTGTGTGACACACGCCTGTCACCTGGCACTCAGGGAAGGACACTGTGAGATCAAGACCAGCCTGGTTTACATAGTGAGTTCCAGCTCAGGCTATAGGAAGACCCTGTCTCAAAAAAATTAAAATAAAATAAAAAATAAAAATTTCTGAATGAAATCTGTGTGCTCAGCACATGAAACCAGGGGTGACTCACAGCCTCCCAGAGTGACTGCAGGGACAGTTCTCAGATGGGATTCCACCAGGGGACAATGGCATGGTGTCAAACCTACACAGGGGTGCTCATGGCACCTGGTGGGTGGAGACTGGGTGCAGCCACTGCCCTCAGCACACAGGTTATCCCGTTGAAGAGATGGTCCCTGCTCCTGATACCAGCAATGCCCACAATTCTGGGCCCAACTCTTGAGTTCCCAGTACTGTGTCCACGGTCACCCCATGAAGCACTGGCTGCTGTATCACTGAGGCCAGAGGAGGAAGCCAGCAGGATCAGCATCTGTCATGGCTGTGAGGAAGACAGTTAAGACCACAACCAAGGCTGTACTAGCACCCCAGAGGGCTACAGACAAGCTGTGGGTATGAATGCTGGAAGGAAGATTCGTCCGTACCAGGACAGAAACTACAGACCCTAATATGACAGCAGGAACAAAATCATGGAGTGTCATCATGGTTATTCTACAGGGACCACTGTGGGCTGATGTGTGTCTCCTACAAAAGCTCCATCTATATTCTTACCCCAGGAACATGGAACTGTGACCTCACCTAGAGACAGGCTGTGAAATCACTGCACACGGATGAGCCTTCACTCAGCTCATGGCTTCAGAACCAGGGCGCCTCCAGACTGGGAAGCCTCTAATGAGGGCCACACATGTTACAAACAGAAAGGGACCTGGTTTGGATTTGGAATGTCACTAAAGGCCCAGGTGAAGAGGGCTGGGTCCAACCTGCGGCACTCTCAGGAGGTAACAGAAGTTTGTAGAGTATGGACCTAATGCAGTGAGTGTCTCCTGGTCAGGTGGGGGTATGGTCTGGAAGGGAACAAGGGCACCCGGCCACTCCTCTTCCTCCAGCCTAGTCCATCACAGACCAGAATCTCCAAAACTGGAGCCCAAATTCCCTTCCTTTTTTTTTAAATGGCTTTGTCTAGGTGTCTGTCACACAAAGGAAACTAACACCCACTGCAGAAGGGTCAAGGGCATGGTGCCCCACTGGATGATGGCCACGCTCCTGACAATCTGCTGCCTGTGTTAATCCATCCATCCTGGTGCCCCAGGATCTAAGGACCCCAAGACCCTGAGTCTATTTTTAAATTTTTATTACACTGATTTACTTTATGTGCTGTGTGGTGCAGTAGTGCTGCTCATACAGAGACTCAGTACAATTACGCTGTCGGTTCCTTCCTTCCACCATGCAGTGCCTGTAGACAGAACTCAGATCGTCAGGCCTGGCTGAGCAAGCACCTTTACCCACTAAGCCAGCTCTCTCACCCTGGACCTCAGTTCTCAAAGATCCCTCCTGTCAATGCTGTGGCTGAAGACCATGCCTGGCACTGGATCCTGGGAGGGAGAAAGACACAGGGGGACAGGTAGGCCTCGGTTAGGGTGAGTCACACTGGGAAAAGGTGGCTACTGTATGGGAGACGTATGAAAAGAGACACCTTCGATTATAGGGGAGAGGACCACAGGGATGCACCAAGGACCACTGGAGCCACCAGAGGCTGGAAGAGTAGAGGGAACCTCCCCTGGAGTTTCTGGAAGGGGCACAGCCTCTAAAAACCACGAGAACCTGTTATCCAAAGCATTGTCTGTAGTCCTCACCCACTGCCTACTCAGACTTGGGGGGTAGGGGTAGTAAATCTGGAGAAATTACACTTTGTGGCATGTCACCTGAGGGGGACAGGAGTCTGCCAGGTTCCAGGATGGTAATGATCTACGAACCTGCCCTCCCTCCTCACAGAATGAGTTCCCATGCCACTGTTTTGTCCTGACACAGGCGCCAGCCACCAAGTCTGTGATGCAGTATGGCTCTCTGTGCCACCTCCTGGGACTATGGCCTCAATAGGGAGTTCAGAACCTAGACAAGGAGAGCGACCTGACCTGGGGTTCTGCCATGATGAGTCCCATGGCCTGTCAGGACCTCTCACCCATGGCCACAAGCCCTGACCTACCAGGCACCTGCTGGTCTCCTTCCCTCCCATACCACCCCTCACTCACCCCACAGCAGCGTCTTCCCTGTCCGCACATGGCAGTCCAGCTCCCCACCTCTGCGCTGGTTAAGTCTCCAGTCTGACTGCCACCTTCCACTACAAGCAACCCTCCCCTACTGTGCCGCCTGACAGCACTTTCTGCCTGCTCCGAGTGGGTATTTGACCAGTTGCCTTTGCGGACCCATGGTAACAACCACATTGTTTCGGGCCACCACTAAAGTCCTAAAACTGCAGAGATTGAAGACCCCAGATACACCACACTGCTTTGCCAACAAATGGCTGGTAGGGGGTGGTGTCTACAGCTGGCATGGCTCACAGTGCACAAGGGCAAAACAGAGCAACTAGCATCCTACTGGCCATGAGACCATGTGACTATTCTGCCCTCCATTTTCTTGAACTTTGACCTTTCACTTAGGAAGCTGACAGGTGGCAGCAGATTGCCCTTGGTGTATTCAGTGGTACAAGTATAATGAGGCTACCAGGCCGGTACCACCACCACTCCCGAGAACCAAGATGTCCACAGCATGGATCTGCTGCACAAACGGAGGGTTCATGTCTAGGACACGGCAGAAAGGCAAACTACTTCATCACGCTACACACAGCAAAATGCTTGACTTAAAACTTACAAATGGCTTCTTTGGGGATTTTCTTTTCTATTTTTTATTTTCAGACCACAATTGACCATGGTAACTGAAACAGAAACCTCAGAAGGGGGACTTCTGTACTACTTGTGGGATGGACAGTCTGCATAGATGAACTGTACATACGGGGGAAGCCATGTTAAAAAGGAAACCAAGGGTTGGGGATTTAGCTCAGTGGTGGAGCGCTTGCCTAACAAGCGCAAGGCCCTGGGTTCGGTCCTCAGCTCTGAAAAAAAAGGAAACCAAGGGTTGGGGATTTAGCTCAGTGGTGGAGCGCTTGCCTAACAAGCGCAAGGCCCTGGGTTCGGTCCTCAGCTCTGAAAAAAAAGGAAACCAAGACAGGGTTCCATGCACCCCAGGCATCCCTCAAACTGGCAATGTAGCCAAGGATTACCCTGAACTCCTGCTCCTCCTGGCTCTACCTCCTGCTGGGATGACAGGAATATGCTAACATGCTGGACTTAGAAAACCTACTCTGTTGTGAAGTCACCAAGTGGTTTTTTAGAAGTTTATGCAACACAGAACACTGAATCTTGCAGTGTTCAGAGGAGAATGCAGACACCCATGCTGGCTCATAGCTCAGACCAACAAAGCCCTTCTGTGATCTGGTGGGCAAGCAGGGGGCGGGGGTAAGGAAGAAGAGCAGATTTTCAGGTTACTCTACTACAATGGAAGAGGGGCAGTAAGAGGCATCTTGCATTGTCCACATGCAACCTGATTGAGCTTTGAGTTTTAAGCAACAATAACGTACCATCACTTGTTTCAGTTATGTCAAATACAACATGTTAATGTGTGAAACGTGTTAATAGAAATTGGGAGGAAGATGCCTCAGAATCTTGTTATCTGCATAGTATTCCCTTAACCTCACATTGCTTTGAAAAAGTATTGAGTCAGTGAGATGGTTCAGTGGGTAGAGGTGCTTGTTGCCAAGCCTGACCAACCTTGAGAACCACATAGTGGAGGGAAAGAACTGACTTCCACAAGCTGTCCTCTGACCTCTACAATGTGTTGTGGCACATACACCCACAAATAAATAAATGATAAATTAAGTAAGGGAAAAAAACCTATTGAAAAACAGAACAAAAACAGAGCCTAGGACCCCAACCCCAGGGCTGCAGACCCCGAGCCCACACTCACCCTTGCAGCCCAGAATGCCTACAGCCAGGTTCACTGACTCATCACTTCTGCCACTGGTGTCTAGGCTCCTGTGGTATCTGATCAGTAGGGTCTAGGTGGTGGGCATGGAGTATAGGTCTGGGGTATGGTCTCCTTCACAGCCAGGTGGTCCCTCCCCAGCTGTGGCACTGTCTCCCTGTCCCCAACCCCCTTGAAATACCCTCCACTATTCACCACAAGCACACCTGCCTGCTTCTCCTGGGATCTGGGGAACTAGTGGCTGTCTCTGGACACCAAGACCATAGGGAACCTGCGTTTCTCCTTTGTACATTTTGGACGCTTGCCTGAGGCCTAGCCAAGCCTGGCGGGACAAACCCTCCCACAGGTACAGACCACAGAGAGAGTCAGGGAGCACCCTGTGAAGCCTCTAGATATAAACGTACATATGATCGGCTCTCTTGTGGAACCCTTACATTTTTGGCCCCTCTCTCAGTCCCAGTCACCCCAGGGCCTGGCCCACTAGAGGTGGCCCCTGAAACACTTCAAGGAGATAACTCTAAACCTGCTGCTCTGCCTCGTCTAGCCTTGCCCACCGAAGCCAGAAGAGTCAAGATGGACAAGTGCCTGCACTTTCTTTTTTCTTCTACGTGTAGTAATAGGTATGGGCCTCATACATGCTCCTCGGAGCTGGGGACAGAAGCAGGGTCATGGCACACACACACAGAGAACGCTTTACCACTGCTCTACACCCCTATACCCAAGCCTCCATTTCTAGAAGGCCTCACAACCACTGATGGCCCTGGCAGGCTCACCTCCAGCACGGGGCCAGCACCCAGGATGGTCCTCTCCACACCGCTGGCGTAACCCTTCTGGCTGAGTGCGGTGAGGCAGTGGATGAGGAAGTTGGTGCTCTGCGTCTTGCCTGAGCCGCTCTCGCCTGAGATCACAATGCACTGGTTCACACGCTTCCGGAGCATAGCATAGTAGGCCACGTCGGCGAGCGCAAATACGTGTGGCTCCAGCTTGCCCAGCTGCTGGTTCTCGTACATCTTCACGTACTTAGGGTTATAGATGGGCAGGAACTTGAAGGGGTTGATGGCCACGAGGATGCTGCCTGCATACGTGTAGATCTTCTGCTGCAAGAAGCGCACCTTGAGGTTCTGCAGCAGGTGAGCCTCAGTCAGCTCAGGCAGGTTGCACAGATCGTCAAAGTCAGCCTGTGGCCGGGGCAGGAGCCCACGCTCCACCAGGCGCCGTGCAGCCTCGGCCTGGGCCAGCAGTTGCATGTGCAGGTACTTGATGGTGCCGTCAGCATTGCGCTCCTGCAGCAGGAAGTAGTAGCCATCCTCCTGCGGGTGCTCATCCTGAGCCCGCCGCGGCCACAGCAGCACCCGGTGCACTGGCGAGTCGTTGGCGTCCAGCACCCACTCTTCCCCACCAGACTCCTTCACCTCCACCAGCACGTAGCACTTGGTGCCATCGAGCCGCAGGCTGGTGATGGCATCCTGGATGACCTCGGTCGTCGTGCTGTCCTTGGTGGCAGTCACACGGCAGGAGGCCTGGCTCTGAGTGCTGGACAGCTGGGGGTAGATGTGCAGGTGGTACGCGGCCTGCTGCCGACGGCTGGAGCTGCCCACCTCTCGCACACTCATCCTGCCAGGCTTCTGGCTTCAGCATACCTCCCTGGCTCCGGGCGTGCTCCTTCTGCAGCTGGAAAGGAGACAGAGGTTAACATGGGCAAAGATGGGGACCAGCTTTAATAGCACTCACCTCTGTACAGACAGCTCCAGACCCACATCATAGCCTACTAACGTAGCTCAGCCCAAAAGCAACCAGCTGTTCCCAGATAAGTACCCAAGTGTCTCCCTGTTTATTTCTTTTTTTCCCTTTGTGGTGATGAAGCTGGCACCTAGGGCCACCTACATACTTAGGAAACTACCACTGAGCCACACTCCCTTCCCCTCACTGGGGGATTCTAGGCAGGGGCTCTACTTCTAAGCTACACCCCCAGCCCCTCACTAGGGCAGGGCCTCTACCACTGACTCAGTCATGTCCCTAGTCCTGAAAAATATTGTTTTTATTTATTTATCTTTTATTTATTTATTTATTGGCCTTTTTGAGACAGGGTCTCCCTACAGCCCCAGCTGTCCTGGAACTCACTGTGTAGACCAGGCTGGCCTTGAACTCACAGAGATCCGCCTGCCTCTGCCTCCCGAGTGCTGGGATTAAAGGCGTGCGCCACCACACCCGGCCTTATTTATTTTGTAAAAGATTTTTGGCAGAGCTGCTGCCATGTAGCCATGACCCGCGGTAACCAGCACCCGCCAAAAGAATATGAAAAAGCAGAGTAACTTGGTTAAGGGAAAGCGCCGAGATGATGGGCTTTCTGCTGCTGCCCTTAAGCAGAGGGACTCCAAGATCATGCAGCAGAAGCAGAAAAGGGCAAACGAGAAGAAAGAGGAACCCAAGTAGCTTTGTGGCTTGTGTCCAACCCTCTTGCCTATCGCCCGTGTGCCTGGAGCCAGTCCCACCATGCTCCGGTAGTGCCCACAGGTCCTAACACCAATGGCACTCCCTTTGCCCTGAGTCTGCAGCGGTCCCTTTTGTGCTTCCTTCCCTCAAGCAGCCTCTCTCCCCTGGGCCACTCCTGGGGGTGAAGGGGTTACCTCTTCCCAGTGTTTTTATTCCTGTGGGGCACAACCCAAAGTATTAAAAGTAGCTTTGTAATTCCAAAAAAAAAAAAAAGATTTTTTTGGTCAGGCATGGTGGTGCATGCCTTTAAGAGGCAGGATCTCTATGAGTTCAAGATCAGCCTGGTCTACATAGCAAGTTCCAAGCCAGCTGGAGCTACAGGGAGACTGTCTCAAAAAAGATAAAAAATGGGGCTGGAGAGATGGCTCAGCGGTTAAGAACACTGGTTGTTCTTGCAGAAGACCCAGGTTTGAATCCCAGCACCCACATGGCAGCTAACAACTTTCCGTAACTCCAGTCCCAGAGGATCCGACAGCCTCTTCTGACCTCCATGGGCATTGCACGACATGGGTGCACCTACCCACATGCAGGCAATATATGCATACACATAAAATTAAAAAAAAAAAAGACCAAAACCAAAAAAATTTTGTATTCATGTGTATGCATTTGTGTCATACATGTATGTATAAGCATGTGTGTGCAGGTGCCCATGGAGGTCAGAAGACATCAAATACCCTGAAACTGGAGTTACAGTCAGTTGTGAATCACCTGATGAAGGTGCTGGGAACTGCACCCAAGTCCTCTGCAGGAGAAACAAGTGCTTTTAACCACTGAGTCACCTCTCTAGTCCCCTTTCCCAAAAGCTCATTTTTTTTCATATTTTATTATTATTTTTACTTTATGTGTATGTGTGTATTGCCTGCGTGTAGGTAAGTGTACCCGTGTCGTGCAATGCCTGCAGAAGACAGAAGAGGCTGTCGGATCCCCTGGAACTGGAGTTACAGACAGTTGTTAGCTGCCATGTGGGTACTGGGATTCGAACCCATGTCTTCTGCAAGAACAACCAGTGTTCTTAACCGCTGAGCCATCTCTCCAGCCCCAAAAGCTCATTTAAAAAAAAATACACTTCTGAAGATTGAAGAGAAAAGGAAAGAGCCGATGCTGCCTGCTAGCAGCCTGCCTAGTGTCTTGGACAACTGAAGACAGATCAGCTTTGATCAGCAGCCAGCAGGGGAGGTTTCTCTACAAACCTGAGCTTATGAAGCCCAGCAGTCAATGAGACATGGTAGAAGCGCCTGTCCTAGAGGCCAGAGTAACCTTGATGGAGTGCGCACATCAAAAGGGGTTCTAGAGGATAAACAGGAGTTCATTCATGAGGTTAACAAGAAGAAGGAGAAGAGGCCAGTCTGACCTTGTTTACTGGAAGTTGTATTGGAAGACAGCCATGCTGTGTGTGGCTGCTTTAGCAGCAGTATTGGGGAGGAATGGTTAGAGGAGAGACCCAGGCTGGCAAGGATGAGCCATCTACCAGCAGTCACTGCCACAATGTTTGCTGGCCTCTCACTTTGCAGAAGTAATGGAGCCACAAGCTGGGGAGTGACGTCAGCTCTGGGACCCTGAGCTACTTAAGTGTCAGGAGGGACAAAGCTGAAGGGACAACCAATGACAAGGTGACAGCAATGGTTCCCACAGGTACTGTGGCAAGAGACCAGGGCAGGAGAGATGTGAGGCTCAAATTTAACCTTTCCCCCAATTATTAAGGACCCATTCTTCACCTCCCTCCAGCTAACAGATACTTGTAAGTTTATTTTGCTAAAATTTCAGTCACTGGGGTTGGGGTGTGGCTCAGTAGTACAGTACTTACTGGCACTTGTAAGACCCTTGCTCCCATTCTCATCCCTGCAAAATGAACCAAATATTTGGTTTATTATATACACTACACCTACTGGTACGCACACCTGTTCACCCAAGCCACTTGGGAGGCTGAGGCAGGAGGATGGTCAGTTTAAGGCCAGTCTGGGTGACTTAATAAAAAGTAAGTCAGTCTCAGAATACAAAGTAAAAAGTGGGCTAGGGATGTAGCTCGGTGGTAGAGCATCTGCCTGGAGTGTACGAGGCTCTAGTTTAATATTCAGCACTGCAAAAACGAACAAAATCACCCAAGTCCCTCCAGCTCCCTGTGCCTTCAGATTCAACTAACTGGGGACCAAAAACATTTGCAGAAAAAAATGCACGTATGCTAACTCCACATGGGTTCAGGTATTGCTGCTGTCCTTACAAACTAACCGGCATGATGTAACAAGTCTGCACAGCACCGACATGCCCTTTGGTATTTAAGACATCTACAAATGGTTTAAAGTCTACAGAACAGCTGAAGAGAAGGCTCTGAGGGGGAAAGCACTGGCCTCACAGGCCTCACTATTCAGAAAAAGCCAGGTGTGCAAGTACCTGTCATCCCGGCCTCCTATAGCAAGATGAAGACGGAACCAGGAAAACCTTCCAGAAGCTCAATGGCCAGCTAGCCTGGAATACACAATACGGCACAGCAGAGAAAACAAGAGAACCTGTCTCAAAAGCATGATGGGCAGGCATGTGGGAGCCAGCGTGTTAGTGCACACCTGTCATCCCAGCACTTGGGAGATAGAGGCAGGAGGATCAGCTGTCCAAGGCCAATCCCAGATGCATAGTTGGAGACCAGCCTGGGCTACATGAGACCCTGTCTCAAAAACAACATCAACAACAAAAAATGAGGTGGAAGGAGAGAACTGATCCTAAAATGTTATCCTCTGACCTCCACATGTACACCACAGCATGTACACATACATACACACACACACACACACACACACACACACACACACACACACACACTGTATTACTAGTTGAATGATTATCCTGGGACGCGCATTTTTGTTGTTGTTTTAGACAGGGTCTCACTATGTAGCCCTGGTTGGCCTGGAACTCACTATGTAGACCAGGCTGGCCTTGTTGCTTAGGAGTGACCATGGACAAGGCACCATCTTCCCAAGTCTGGTTGCACCCACTTGCCTAGGATCATCACAGCTAAGCTTGCTGACTATCACACTCCACAAGAAAGGAGGGGCAGGGGGAGTCCTAGGACTCTCTCAATCAGCCAGTTGGCCCTAGATGCACAAGGAGGCGGGGCTGAGGGTGCATAAGCTAAGGGAGCTTGGGGAAGGCTCTCTTAGCATCTTGTGCAGCAGTGGGAAGGTTGGATAAAGACTTTCCAGTGGGCCTTGGCAGTGGGGGAGCCACTCTCACCCACTGTTCTGTAGGTAAGCCCCATAAACCCATTCCTTTTCTAGACTGCAGTTGGCAAAATCCATACCTTGGTTTGTGGTGGGACCAAGGGGGAGAAGGCAGACATTGCTTACCCCCCTCAGAAGGAATTGTAGCTACACTTGGCTTAGTCAGTAGGATATGACAAAACCAAGGATGAGTTTGAGAAGAGTGATGGTGTCTCCGGTATGGGGAAGGAGACCAACAACTGAAGTGAATTTGGTAAGGGGAGTGTTGGCAGAGGACATTTTGACGTGGTGGGCTATCCCCAGAGGGCTGGTGGGATAGCAGCAGTAGCATGGGTCGTGCAGTGGGTAGTGAGATGTTTAACAAGGGTGAGGCCACCTAAGCAGATGATGTCAGAGGGGGAAATTCCAGGATGGTATTCTTCTTGACGGTATAAAGTAGCATACCTGCCTGACTAGTGGGGTCCACCACGGGAGTATGGAGACACATTGAGCAGAGTTAAAGGTCTAGAGCAGACATGACAAGCAGCACACCAGGGGCAGAAGTATCAGCAAGAAACCGCACAGGCAGCCTGGCCGATCCTATGAGCAGTAAGAGATCGATCCCAGGTCAAGTCAGAGGCCCAAGGGAGGCTGAGGGCGTAAGAGAGGAACTGCAGTGAGAGAGGGAGATGAGGCTGGGCTCTTCAGTGTTGGCCTCTGACCTTGCCAGTAAGTTGGATAAAAGAGCAAAAGAGATACAGGTGTCAGCCTGCTGGCTTTTCTGGCTAGGGGGCCAGAAGGAGAAGAGAGCCCTGATTAGATCAATAATACAAGGCTCATCCTGGGACTCCCAAAACCTGGAACCCATGGGAGAAGGTAGGTAGTGATGAGGAAGGGGTACAAGGGCCAGGTACAACTGTGAAATACTTAGGAGCTTTATGACTGGATAAGGCACAAGTGATATCCAGAACCAGGATGGCTGGGAAAAGT